TTATTTATTGTATTGATCCACTCTGTTCCTTCTAGTTTAGACTACTATTTTTTAATGGTGTACCTTTTATTTCTAAATATAATTTCTGGTTTTTTTCTAATGTCTTTTAGCTTGATTGGAAAGAGTACATTTCAATTCTAGTCTACTTTATGAATACTTTTCTCTGGTGTGTTTTCATTATCTATACGGATGTTATTGTCCAGATTTATTTTTTAAGTAATAACTTTGTATAGGATTTGATCTTGATACTTTTCTGAGGTTCATTTTTATGTTAAATTAGTTTACCTGAATATTTTAGAATAAACTCACAGTTCAGGGGAGCTTTTCCAAATTCTTAGAGCTTCCTTTTTTATTGTTTATATAAAATGTCAAAAAGTATGATAGCTTGCTTTCTGAGATATTCTGGTTCTGTTCCCCTCCCTTTAGTCAGGACCTTTATTTCTCTTTATCTCCATCATCTCTATCCTGCTTAATTTTAAATACCTGTTGGCTTTGGGGTTTATTTTATTTCCATGTCTATTAGACACACATTGCTTACCTTGTATTCTTCTGGCACAGACTTGACAGCCTACACATTTTGTGACTGTTGATGGTGTTTATACTTAAAGGGAACACTTTGTTGCTTATTTCTGCTGTAAATGTTGTCCATGGGTTTTCACTGCTCTGACTGCTTTTATGTGGGGGTTTAGGAAGATCTAAAAACTATGCTTCTATCCTTGCTGCCATCTTCCCAGAATTTTCCAAAACATTTTTCATTTAGATTGGGTCAAATTCAAACCTGAGTCTTTCACACAGGCTATAAGGTAGACATCAAAAGCAGGTGGTGGTAGTGGTGGTCGTGTCGTGGGGGTTGCTGCTGTGGTTGCTCTTGTTTTTGAACAGAGAGGTTTAAATACTTTCAAATAGTTGTCAACATTTAACAACAGCAAGATTGCAGATACAAGTTCAGATTTCTGACTTTTCTGGCAAAACTGAAAGTTCTGGAAACTGGGCCTATATTTCAACATAGCAGCCATGGGCTGGACTGCACAATGGGGATCCCATTCAGAGGGTAAGTGTGCGCTCCAGCTCACCACAGTCCTATTCCAGCTGGCTTCACCTATTTATGGTATCTGTTTGACCCCATAGGCTTTTGAGTTGGCAACCTCTGAACTATAGGGATTCTGAGTGTGTTAATTTCCTCCAACCGCTATAACAAAGTACCACAAACTAGGTGGCTTAGAACAACAGAAATTTATTATCTCACAGTTCTGGAGGCCAGAAGTCTGAAAGCAAGGTGTCAGCAGGGCCATACTCCTTTCGAAGTCACTAGGGAAGGCTCTGTTTCAGACCTGTCCTAGATTCTGTCCTAGATTCTGGTAGTTCCTTGCACGGAGGCAGCAAATTCCAGTCTTCACATGGTGTTCTACCTGTATGCATGTCTGTGTCCAAATTGCCCCTTTTTATAAAGACAACAGTGAAGTGGATTAGGGGCCCACCCTACCCCAATGTGACCTCTTCTTTATTGATAAGGTTTCCATCTGCTGTCTTGTATTTTTGCCATTACCACGAGAAGAAGGTGTCTGGGCTCCCACAGGAGGAAAGTGTGAAACACAGGACAGAGCTGTGTTTCCAAACAAGGTTTCCAAACAAGGTCACATTCAGAAGTAACTTAGGGCTAGAATTTCAACATATGAATGGGGTAGGGGCGCAATTTATCCCACAACACTAGACTTCTCCAGTTTCTCTTTGGGAGAGAATCAATAGGCCCCAAGGTCCCTTGAGGCCCCAGAAAAGTTCAAACCCAAACCTACATTTCTCCAAGCATTTTTGGTGAAACATCTTCCCATTGAGAGTGGTAACCTATTATCTGTGTTTCTGCAAGGCAGTTTTGAGGGCTCCTAATCAGCTTGTTGTTAAACCAGATGGGGAGGTATCTTCTTATAAAACTGGTAAGAGAGGAAGAACAGACAGACAGGAACAGCTTTCTTTACCAATTAAGTCTCAGCCCACACCAGCCCACACTGCAAATTAATCTCATTTCACTTACTTTTCTTAGCGAGAATAATGCATTGAGTTAAACCCAGAAAAGGCAAGGGATCCAGCCAAGGTCACACAGAGAGATGGGGAGAGGAGAACCCTCCTGAATCCAAATTACAATCCAAAATCATCATATAATATGAATCATCCTTGAAGTATGACTTCTAGAAGGGAGCTTTGGCAGGCCCATCCTAGGCAGATCCGTGACTTGGTGATGTTTGTTTCAAACAATCCCACTCCCTTGAGTCCATCTGAACAGCCCAGCTGTGCCCTCTGTCACAGTGGGACAGAATCCTGAGGTACTGTATCATCATGGTATGGTTTTGGCCAGTGTCACCAACAGCTGCTATTTTATTGACTCCATATTTTTATTTAGCTTCTCTTTTTTTTCTTTATGTAAATAAATATCTTAAAATTTATTTATTTAAGCATATATACTTCAAATTTTAAAATCTATCACAACTATAAGAGTAAAAGCAGTATCTATCCCCTTGTTATAACCAGAAAGTAGCTTAAAAGTAAATACTTTAAAAACTAAATAACATTATTAAATTCTTGCTAGATACTCTTGCCTACCTAAAAATTTGAACCTGAGGCATTTTCTCTTCGTTAAAGTAAAAAAATATCAGCAAATGTTGGCACCTGAGACTTTCTTCTTCAAGTTATCAGCAGGACTAATGAAGAAGTAGAATAACACTCCCCCTGTGTGATTCAGTGCTTTTCGAAGTCCTGTCTGAGTCTTTTCTAGATCCCCTTGGGTACACCCATGGCATTCCATCCAGTGTTGAGGAAACACTGACACAATGGGAAGAGAACTGGAGGAAGAATCATTAGTGCCACTAAGTCACTTTCCTATATCAGTCAGCAGTTGGTGTGTAACAACCATCCCAAAGCTCAGTGGCTTAAAACATTTATTATTGTAATTCATGCAACTGTGGGTCAGCCAGAACTCTGTTAATCTGGGCTGGGATTGATCATGTGACTGTGGGTTGGGTGGGCCTTTGCTTGAGGCTGGGCTTGGCTAGGGCATGTTAGCTGGGGCAGTTCTGTCCTGTGTTTCTTACTTTCCTCCTGTGGGAGCGCAGATACCTTCTTCTCATGGTAATGGCAAAAACACAAGACAGCAGATGGAAACTTGAAAGGCTCCATAATGCACAGGCATGTTGCCATTTCTGCCTCATTTTGTTGGCCAAAACAAATATCATGGGTAAATGCAGAATCACCTCTTTTTGGGGAAAAACTGCAAAGGGCATAGATACTGGGAGAAGTGAAGAACTGAGGCCAATAATGCAATTTCCCACATTAATGCAATCTCTTTCATTATTTTACAAATTTTTCCATTTATAAAATAATGACTTTGGACTACTTCAGAGATCTTCAGTCCTTCTGCTTTGAGAGACTCTTTATTTTACTTACACAAGTTCCAAATTCTGATAGATTTTTACATCTTAAGTAAACTGCATTTATTAAGGTACAATTTCTTTCAGGCTTTTTGAAATAGTACTGCCTTCTGTGACCTTTTGAAACTACTGGATTAGGTATCCTTTAAGTATCTAACATTCCATATTTCCAAGATTCTACAAATCTACGAAGCAATTATTCTATGATTGTATTCTTTTTAAAATATTCGGGATTCTAGTATTGTTTTGTTGTTGTTATTGTTATACATTTCTAGAACTCAATAACAGGTCAATGAAACTGCATTTCCAAAGAATCTGTGTTTATATTTCTGAGATTCTCTGAATTTGTTTTCTGTATTTGAAGATTGTATATGCTAGTATATCTTAAGATATTAACTGTACTTTTTACATCCTTTGTCCTATTTCCTCATGCAAGATAGTGAGAGTTCCGTGTGCACTTGAAAAGAATGTGTGTTATGCTGTTGTTGGGTATTCTACACATGTCAGTTAGATGCAGTTGTTTGATGGTGTTCAGTTCTTCATCTTTGCTGATTTTATGTTTATTAATTCTATTGATTACTGAGAGAGCAGTATTGAAGTCTTCAATAATAATCGTGGATTTGTCTATTTCACTTTCAGTTCTGTCAGTTTGCTTTCTGCATTGTAAAGTTCTTTTGTTTGGTGCATACACATATTAGGATTGTTTTGCCTTCTTAGTGAATAGACCAATTTATCATTATTTAACATTTTTCTTTATTACTAGTAGTTTTCTTGACTCTGAAATTTACTTTGAAATTAATATAGTCACTGATGAATGTGGTTTTCTTGTGATTAGTGCTTTCATGGTATATTATTTTTCATCTTTTCAATTTTAACCTACAAATATCATCACATTTAAAGTGAACTTCTTGTGGATAGCATAGAAGCCATTTCTGACTTTCGATTGGTATGTTTAGACCATTTACATTTAATGTACATATTGATATGTTTGGATTTAAGCCTATAATTTTATTCTTTGTTTTGTGTTTGTTTGCTCTAATTTCATTCCACTGTTTTTCCTCTCCTGTTTTTTTTTTTTTTTTTTGGTTATTTGGACATGTTTTAGTGTTCCATTTTAATTTAGATGCTATGTTTTTTACTATCGCTTCATATAGTTATGTTTAGTGGCTGTTCTATTGATTGAAGTATACATACTTGTCACAGTCTACTGGGAATCAATACTTTATCACTTCGAGTGAAATGTAGAAACCTTACCATCATAAATGTGTGTTTACTCCCTTTATATTATAGTTGTTTTATATTACATCTACACACATCAAAATTTCCAACAATGTTCCAAGTTTCATTTTTAGCTGTCAAAATATTTTAAATAACTCAAGAGAAAAAGAATGGTTCATTATTTTTAGAAAGATATTTACCATTTTATAACCACTATTACTATTTATGCTGCTCTTTCTTCATTCCTGATTTTCCAAATTCCCTTCTGTTTGAAAAACTTCCTTTAGCAATTTTTTCTTAGACCAGCTTTACTGGCTATGAATTCTCTTAGTTTTCTTTCACCAGAGAATGTTTTTATTTTACCTTAATTCCTGAAGGTGATTTATGCTAGATATAGAAATCCGAGTTGACAGTCTTTTCTTTTAGCACCTTAAATCCGTAGTTCCACTTCCTTCTCATCTCCATGGCTTCTGATGTAAAGTCTGCAGCCAAAAATGTAGAGAAAAAGCATTATAGGGGATATCATACAGTTAGTAAAAATAGCATGTTATTTTTCTGGATTTTGTATTGTTTGTGATATTTACCAGCTTTTTAAAATTTGTAATTTATTTTCACTTTCTTCTCTCATTCTAAATAAATATTCACATTCATACCCAAATGTATACTCATAATTTTCTTAAAGAGGGTCACCCAAAATGGTATAAGGTTTAGATCTCGCACAAACTAGATCAAGACTCACTTCCAACCTCCATCTTAGCCCTCCGTCCTTTCAAGGAGATATCAGGGTGAATAAAGACAGGTATTATCTGAGTCCCAGCCAGAGCCCTCCTTGGCACGGTACAGAGCTGAAAAATTCTACACAAGGTGCCTAGGCAGACAGGTAGCCTCCCACAGATTCCCACGGGTAAGAGAATTGATGTGAGCCAGTTACCTGAATGGGGCACAGGTGAGGCATCAAAGGCCAGCCATCCAACTGAAAATCCGAATGAGGAGGGCACAGCAAGAGCAGCCAGCATGGCTGCAGAACTAGATACATCACATGTAGACAAGATGCTCCCTCCCATCCTGGGATTATGTGAGCCCCTCAAGATTTAGATATAACCCAATAAGGAAGAAGACTATTAAATTGTCAGAGATTTCAACCTGTCTCTACTCTCCTTCCCTCTCCCACCTCTGCCTAGCATCTAGATCTTCCCATTCTTTCTCTCATAATGGGCCAAGTACACCCCATCTCAACTTCAGGGCCTTTGTACTTCCTGTCCCCTCACCCATATGGCACTTTCTTCTCTGGGTCTTCATGGGCCTCATTCCCTCACATCTTCCAGGTCTCTAAATAAAAGTTGCCTCATCGGGACATGTCCTCTGACCCTCAGAATAGAATAACACTCCTACTTCATCACTGCCTGTCCCTTTTCTCTGTTTGATTTTTCCTTAAAGCATTTTCCTTAGAGTCTTACTGTGTGTGTGATAAATGCTCTATCTACACATTCTACCTATATTTATTTGTTTATTTGTTTTCCATCTGTCTCTTCCACTGGAATGCAAATTACACTCCATAGTGGCAGAGATTTTATCTGTCATATAAGGTTATACTCCTACTCCTTAAAAAAAGAAAGAAAATACCTAAAAAAAGAAAGAAAGAAAGACAATACCTGGTACCTAAAGGCCCTCGATAAACATTTTTTGAATGAATTAACTAATTAAGTCTGCTACTTGTATTAATAGAAGCTAATAAATTAAGTTATTATATAAGGAAAAATAAAGTTATATTTCCTGGAATTTATACCTGGCTTGTCTATGCTTTGTGCTTAGATTGATTTTTAAGAGTCTTGCTGTGTATAAAATCCTACAATCTGCTCTATATTGGTTTCAAAGTTTCTATAATACTGTGATTCTCTGTGTCTGTGTCAAGGATCCTGGACATCATGACCTTAGTGGCTCTGGACAGCTCACCCGGAAATAGAAAGCTGGATCTTAATGACTCCAAGATGTACAGGATAAGCCAAGGGCACCCAGCTTGAGTTCACACAGCAGTTCCAGCTTGGAGGGATAATTGGAAAGATTATCACCAGGAAATTGTTTACAGGACAAGCAAGCTCCAGACATGGCTATCACCACCCCCCAACCCTGCTTGGTTTTTATTTCACATAAGTGGTTTTCTGAGCAGAGAAAAGGGTAGAACTCTGCTCAGTTTGGTAGACTTACCAAAGGACAAAAAAGGGGAACTCACAGAGGTCAGAGACATTTAGGCCATCATGAGACATTGGGTACGTACAAGGCTATAGGATAGTTGGTCCAGGGCTAGCACACCCACATGCCCATGGGGACCAGGCAGGTGACCTAAACAAACAAAGATGGCCTGATGGAGGCCAAGGCAGACAGGACATCCATATCCCTTCTCAGGAGGGCAGCTGTGACCAATTTTTGCCAAACAGGGATGCCAGTGTGGCTAGATTTTCTGATTTCTCATTAAAAGCCAGAAATCCAAATTTATATGTGAAATTTCTCAATTTTAAATGTTGGAAACAGAATCAAAAAATTTGTAAAGCACTATTTTCTCATTAATATTTCCATGTAACAAACTATTCCAAATGTAATGACGTAAAGCAACCATTTATTATGTCCATGGGTTCTCTGTGTCAGAAGTCTGGACAAGGCACAGTGGGAATGGCTTGACTCTGCTCCACAATGTCTGGGGCTTCAGCTGGGAAGACTCAAATGGCTGGGGTTAGAATCATCCAGAGGCTTCTCCGTTCACATATTTGGTGCCTGGGCTAGGGTGACTCAAAGGCTGGGCTCAGCTGGGGCTGTCCACTGGAGTGCCTACACGTGGCTTCTCCATGTGGCCTGCACTTCTCACAACATGTGGCTGGTTTTTGAGACAGAGTACCTAGAGAGCAAGCACTGCACATCCAGAGAGGGAGCACTCAAGGATGGCCTTTTATGATGTAGCGTATAGTCCCATAGTGTCACTTCTACCATACTCTACTGGGCAAAGGAGCCACAGACCCACCCATATTCAAGAGAAGGGGTACACAGACCCTACCTGTTGATGGGAGGAGTATCAGATAATTTGCAGCCATTTATAAAAACACCACTCATATGGCCATGCCAAATGGGTCTGCAGGCTATATTTGGCCAGAAAGGCTATATTTGGCAGCATCACTGAAGGACAGAAATGGATGAAGACCAAGCTCATACAATGAAGTGAAGACTAACAGTGACATCCCCAGAGTACAGATATGGGTGTGAAGCCAAAAGTAGAGGGGTGTCTGCTTGGCCGGGCTTTCCTTGGAACACACAGCCAAGTAGAATCTCTGGCCTAGACCTCAATCCATGCACCATCACAGTGCCTGCTCACAGCCATCCTGTCCACAGACTCGGGCCCATACCAAGCCACAGCCTGACCACAATCCAGTCCTCTTCATTTTACTGCTGACCACACCCACTTTGTTCTCTCTACCTCCTTCCTTACCATTCCTTTCTCACTCATGGCCTTCCTTCCTGTTACCATCCTTATACATCTTCTTCATCCTTAAAGTTTTCTTTAAGGTTTAGCTCATGACCCCTCCTCTGAGGAGCCTTCCTTGACTACTTGTCTCCATAGTGAACTCTCTCTAACTTTATATGACTAGATAGTGGAGCAGAACATTTCCCTGGAATGCAAATTCTCAGACACCCCCTCAGACCTACTGAATCAAAAACTCTGGGACTAAGACTCAGCTATCCAGGTTTTAACAGGCCCTCTCAGTAAGATGTTGATGCACTTCAAGTTTGAGAACCACAAGTCTAAGTCAACCACGTTTGTTCCTTTCTCTTGACCAGCAATTAGCTTAGGAAGAAACATTGGACAAAATTCTGGACAGATATATGAAGGTAATCTGTAGGGAGGGGGCTCTCTGGGAAATTTGTTTGTTCTTAATAAGAGACATAGGATGAAATGCTGTACCATTAAGATGTTTTTGGTTTCAAGCAATAGGAAATCCAGCTAAAGGGGCTTAAATAAATAGGGGTTTTGGTCTTCTCACTTTCAAGAATTCTCAGGTAGGCAGTGGTTAGCAATGCTTTGATGGCTCAGCAAAGTCTGTGATTCTCTTGGTCTTTCCTTCTGAACACAAGAAGACTGCCACATTTGGCTGTCACATCGTGACAGTCAGGAATGAAGAAGGCTGCTTCAAGCAATGTCTGTCGCTCTTACTGGGGAAAGTGGAGGCTTCCACATATGTCTCATTGGCCAGAATTGGCCACATGGGCACCTCTAGCAGCAAGGAATGCTAGGAAAGTGAGTATTTGGTTTTTCCAACTTCTATAATGGAGGCAGGCAAAGAAGGGTTGGGGATGATGTATGGTGAGCAAATCCACAGGGTCTTCTCACTGAGTTGCATTCTAGCTACTCTGAGCTAAAAAGCTTCCTGACTGGAAGTGTTAACCTGCTTCTTCCGCAGTAGTTGGGGGATTAATAAAATGGTTCAGGAGTCAGGCTTGGGGTCAGCTTGCAAACTAATTGAGGCTCCATCACAGTTGTTACAGATTTCTCCAACATGTCTGTCTATTTCTCTTATCTTACCGTCTTTTGCAGAATCCTTCCTCATGGAATTTCAGACAGATGGGCTCTCAGAATTTACCAAAAGATGCAAACAGTTCAGGTGCTGAAGTGGAAGAGACTCAGGGCTAAATGTCGATCTGTCACTTCCATGCTGTGTGACCTTGAGTAAGTGGTTCCTCTCTGAGACTCAGTTTCTTCATCTGTGAAATGGAGCTAATGAGAGCCCTTAACTCCCCCCAGAGAGGTTATGATGATGATGAAATGAGATCAACCACAAAAAGCAACATGCTCAGTGCTTAGTACTAAGGTACATGCTCAGTGAACTGGTACCTATTAATGTCGTTATTATCAACTATATTAGCAAAAGCCTGCTGTTGTGGAGTTGAGGAGGTTGCTGTGCAGACGTCAGGGCATAGGAAATTAGTGGGCAGGTTTTCTATTACACCTGCCTTAGCAAAATGCAAAACCAAATTCTCGTTAGCATGTCAATCATTTCCATGTAAGTGAACTTCACTGTAAGCATGAACATGATATCCTTGAGTATAGGGGAAGAAGATGCCTTCTCCCATAGCTCCTTTATCAGAAGCTCAAGTATGGTGAAGGAAGGGAGGTCAGTGACTGTCCCCCCTTCCAGGACAGACAGAGGTGGCTAGCATTCCGAGCTGCCCTCCACACTTCCTGACATTTGTGGTTTAATCAAGTCCCATTAATTCCTCCCAGTTTCAAAGCCCGACACAGGAACCACAGACTCCCACGGCCTCTGACGGGAATCATGCCGCTAAAGCCAAGGGGAACTCTTTGAAAGGTAATTAGTGTCCTTTGAATCCAAGGCCCTTTGATTTTGTTTCCTGGCTTTAAATGGTCACAGGAGATTTTGTGGCAAAGGAAAACATAAAGGCAACAGCAAGAGCCCCTTACGGGGCCTTCTGCTGCCTC